CCCCCAAATCTACCTTAGGTTTTGGCCCCGCTCATGAAAATTTCATGGCCACCCCTGCCTGTACAGATATCCAGATATAATAGGTTGTCACCAGGGCACCTTTAAACCAAAGGGTTAACACATACTGGAAATTTGGATATCCTGCTAACACTTGGCACTTAGCAATATGCATCTTGTAGCATCTAAGTGACACTCCAAGCTGATGTTAAAATACAACCTTAATTATTTTAAACAAAATATAATGGACACATCCAATTATCCTGCCAACCTTGCAGTTTACCAAAAATATTATTATCTATTGCCATGTGTTTATGCCATCATTTTTGGAGATTTATGTATCAGATGGCTATGGACACCAGAATACTTGACACCCATGCCATGAGCAGGTTACACTGCAAATAACATATTTCAAGTTTCAACAGAGAATATTCCCGTAAAACACTGGTCAAGCTAAAAAGCATCATGATAAGGAGAATTGACACTTGCCGATGAATAAATAAATGCAATTGAAATAAATACCAAATTAAAGATAAGCCTGTTCATGTTACAACAAATCTCTACATAAAAACAATGCTAATGGATCCCTTGCATTTGTTTGACAATGAAATGCAAAAAGGAAAAGATCATTATGCCCAACGATAAAATATTTAGAAATATATACAATTTGAAACATCTAAAGCAAAACAGAAATGTTTATCTTCATCTAACCTCAAAATAGAATAGAAAACAAGCATGGGAAAATGAAAACTGCAAATATAGATTCAAAAAATAAAGTCAGACAACTGAGAACTTCTAATTCCATTAAGTACCTCATTATCTGAAGAAGGTATAATGCCAGCCATTTGAGGCCAGCAACTGCCCTCAGGACCCAAGGCACCATATTCTCCTCTGCTGATAACTGCCTAAATGAATAAAAAAGGATAGTTAATCAGTGTAGCTCATAAGCCTACTACTTCAAAAGCTCAAGGAAAGGAATAAATTAAATAATGGAAATTGATATGCCATACTCAAGGTTATTGCTATAAGGGAAATAAGTGCATCCTCAACAAACATCTTTCCTGCATCTTGGCTTAGAGGAGAGTGCCAACGTTTTATGTTGATAGACTGAATGGCATTAATATGTGCCTCATTGTTGCTTTTCTTTTTTGTGTCATTTTGCTTTACTTATCACTGGGTTATTCTCTTCTTTGTTATTGGTCCAATGGGCCTCGCTTAGCTGCTTATAAACATTGTTATTGCTGCCGCCTATCTAGGGACATTATTGTAATTCTCTGATCAGTTATAGCAGTTAATATAAAAGTTAGTGTGGCCTCACATTCTTTCTGATAATTAACAGGACTTAATTTCATTAACATAAACAGAGAAGTATGTAGAATGAAGATCCCAATGGTGAGGTAGATTTAAATACTTCTCAATACAAATATTTCAATTCAGCGCAGTAGGAATCTGCTGAATCCAAAATCTGCAAAGAAAAGAAGAGTTTCTTGTGGAAGAAAAGAGAGAAGAGAAGTTGAGAAAGAAAGAAGGAGCAAATCAGATCTGGCCGCCTTCTCCCATTGGTATTTATACTTTAATTAAAAATTAAGTACAATGAAAAATATGCCCTTATAGGGCAGCTAACACATAAAGCTGCACAAAAAACTTAAAAACATCACTCCAAAGGGTCCCAACACGAGTGTTGTGGTCTCCACTCACTATCTAAACAAACAATAAACAAAAACAACTAACAAATCTGCATAAAATCCTCAACACTGCCCCTCAAGTTGGAAGAAATGTCACACATTCTCAACTTGCATAGGTCATGTTCAAGTTTGTTCTTTGCAACCCCTTTGGTGAAGACATCAGCTAACCGTAACTCAGTGGAAACATAAGGCAAGCAGACTTCTCTAGCTCTCACCCTTTCTCTTATGAAGTGTCAACCTCAATGTGCTTTGTCCTATCATACTGAACTGGATTGTGGGCAATATTGATTGTAGCTTGGTTGTCACAATATGGCATCTATCTCAATCTCACTCCGCAAGGATCTAACCCAGAGTAATTCTGAAACACCATGGGCCATAGATCTCTATATTCAACTTCTACACTTGACCTAGCCACCACTAATTGTTTTCTACTCTTCCATGAAACCAAATTTCCTCCCACAAAGGTGCATACCCCTGATGTGGGTCTTCTATTATCTAGACAACCTGCCCAATTTGCACCTGCATAGGACACCAGTTTCAAATTCCCATGATCTGAGAATAGAATTCCTCTACCCAAATGCTTCTTCAAGTATGCAAGTATCATATCAATGGCTTCCCTATGTTGAACTCGAGGAGCATGCATATGCCAACTCACAACACTAATAGCATAGGAAATGTGTAGGCATGTCATACATAAATATAGTAGTCAGCCTACCATCCTCTGATATCTCCCAACACCCTTATCAAACTCATCGTCCAAAGCATTAATCATGTGGTTCGGGTCAATAAGAGTATCAACTGGTTTAACTCCTACCTTCCTAGTTTCCTATAGTACATACACAATCAATGCCCCCCAAACCTGTCAACCATGCCCAAGGTGACTATTTCAAACCGTATAATAACTTTTTTAGCCTACAAGCTTTTCCCTCACCAACATTCTCATAGAAACTGGCTAGAAGGTCCATATATACCTCCACTTGCAAATCACCATTAGGAAATGCATTTTTTAAAATCAAGCTAGAAAAGCGGCCATGAATAAGTAGCTACTAGAGACAAGAGTTTCCAAACTAAACTCATCTTAGCTACTGGTGCAAAGGTCTCCAGATAATCTATACCATAGATTTGTGTATACCCTTTTGTAACCAACCTTGCCTTGTACCTCTCTATGCTGCCATCTACCCTTACTTCACAATGAACACCCATCTACATCCAACTGTATCCTTTTCTACTAAAAGATTAACTATCTCCCATGTTTGATTCTTAATCAAAGCCTCAATTTCTTATATGATAGCTATTATCCACTCAGGTTTGGAGAGAGCCTCACTAACATTCCTAGGTATAGACACAAAATCTATGGAAGAAAGGAAGGCATGATAAGGAGGAGGTGATAGGAAATTGTAGGAGAGATGGTGTGAAATGCAATGAGTTGTACACTTTCTCTTCTCTTGCGAAATGCAATGGGAAGATCAAGATCAGTTGTAACATCAGTGTTAGGTACAGAAACATCATCAATGGGATTAGACGCAATAACAAGCTCAAGAGAAATACTTGGAATTGTATCATCCAAACCTAGAATCTCGGACAGACCAATAGAGAGTGGTGTAAGTTCTCCCATTAGAGCATGTGTGGAGTCAACCCTCTTGCGTTGACACTAAAAGAACTGTGAAGTAGGCCGCAGTGGAACTGAAGCTAATGGTGGAGTAACAGGTGGAACTGATGGAGCTTATTGTGGATCTAATGGACTAGATGAAGGAACAGGAAGAGAAACAGACTGTGAGCTCTCTTCCCCAAAACATTCCCCCTGAGGAGTCACCAAAAAAAAATGTAGACTGAAAAAAGGTAACATCCATATTGACAAACTTGTTCCCTGACACTGGATCATAACAACAATATCCCTTCTGGTTTTAAGCATACCGAAGAAAAACACATTTCTTGGCCTTAGGATCCAACTTCCTACGATGAGGACCAAGAATGTGAACAAAATAAACACACCCAAAAACTCTCAAAGGTATATGAAATATCTCCCCATCTAGAAAAAGAAGACCGAATGGCACCTTAAACCCCAGAATGCATAAAAGTACACGGCTAATCAAGTACACAGTTGTGAGAACTACATCTCCCCAAAAACGAACAAGAGCTGAAGCACACACCATAAGACTTCTTGCCACCTCCACAATGTATCTATTTTTCATCTCCGCTACCCCATCCTGCTACAATGTATCAACTACTCCGATGAATCACCCCATGCTCCAAAAAATATGTGGTCAAATTCTTCTCAAAATATTCATTAGCATTGTCTAATCTGAAAATCTTAGTCCTCGCCCCAAAATGTGTGAGAACCATCTCGTAGAACTGTCACACCAAAATAGGTACCTCGTCACGTGATCTCATCAAATATATCCAAGAATACCGAGTGTAACCATCCACAAACAAAAGAAAATAACGGTATCCACCCATGGAAGAAATATTATAAGGTCCCCATACATCAGTGTGAACAATATCAAAAGTAGAAGAACTTATTTTATTACTTGGTTTAATAGAATGTCTACAATGCTTTCCCAATTGACAACTTTCACATTGTAGACTAAATAACTGGATAGAGTCAAAACAACTTTTAAAACAAACATCTCAATGAATTGAAAGAAAGATGACCCAACCGATTTTGCCAAAGCATAATCTAACAAACTAACTCTAACCCACTACTACTGCTACTAACATAGTGGCTCTGATGTCTTGGAATCTAATTTAGAAGGTAGACTCCATTCACCTCACAACCACTCCCAATCATCCTCTTTGACTTCAGATCTTGCACAACACAATTGCCAGGAAGGAAAGTCACTGAACAGTTCAAACTTTTTGTCGGACTACTCACAGAAAGAAAATTAGTATGAAGTCTGGGAACATATAAGACAGAGGTCAAAGTAATGCCATCAGTCATCCTAACTATCCCTTTCCTAGCAATGGGAATATGCGAACCATCTGCTATAGAGACTCTATCTCTATTAGAACACAACTGGTAAGAACTGAAAAGGGTAGACATATTGGTCATGTGCTCAAATGCTCTTAAGTCTATAATCCAAGGAGGTCCCTCCTTACTTGAGGTGGATGCATAATTTACAACCGCATATGAAGTACCTATATGAGCAAAGGAAGTAATATGACTAGCTCCTAGGTTTCCTGCACTTTGTTGCCCACCTAAAGAACTAAAACCATTTGAGTCCTTACTCAGATGTTGTCCATACTTTTCCAACTCAGTTCTGACTGCTACCATTGCAATAGACTCCAAGTCGACTTGGGTAAGAGGACCCGAAGAATCTCTAGTAGTTGCCACATTTAACCAAGTCCTTCTTATCCTCCCTCCTGATCTCACTATTCCCACTATCTCCATTTGGCTTAGGTTTGAATGTACTAATCATAGCCGACTGGTCAACCCTAGACTATCTCAACATGACATTCCTATATCTCTCCTCTCTAGGCACAAAGGCATAAGCTTGTAAAAGAGTTACACTTTCTCTGGAAAGGATGTATTGCCTGGCAATATCAAATTCAGGGTTTAGTCCAACCAAGAACTTAAAGACCCTATTCTTCTCCACCAACTTTTGATATATTATTACATCCTTCGTACTCTCCCAAACAACAATCTTTAAGTGATCTATCTCTCGTCAAAGTGTTTTCAGCATGGACTCTAACTACATTTTGTTTCTTAGAATAGGTCTAAGTTACTCCATCTAAAATCTCCTTAGCAGTATTAGCCCACAAAAAATTTTTACCATTGTGAGGTAACAAAAAATTACATAGCAAGGACACCACCATGTAATTCTCCTGTACCCATCGGGAGGAATTTGTATCAAGTTTCTTTTCCTCCATAGTGATGTACCCCAATTTCCCACGAGCACCAATAGCCATCTTAGCTGATTGTGCCCATTCTAAATAATTTGTACCATCCAATTTTACTGTGGTAATAATCCTAGACTCAAAAAAGTCACTAGTACTTCCTCCACCCAAACCCAGGTCACCGGTGGACTTTTATTTAGCACTCCAACCCTCCATTTCAACTTCAATCAGGTCAAGAACAAGAAAAAATCAGGCAGAAAGCTTCTAAAAACATATAGATCTCACACACAAAGGTAGGACTTTTCGGAGGAAGAAAACCCTACCTAGAGAGAAATCTCTCTCCTCCACTTTCTCCCAACAGAGAGAAAAGTGAATTGATCTATCGA